TCTCTCTCTCTCTCTCTCTCTCTCTCTCTCTCTCTCTCTCTCTCTCTCTCTCTTTCACTAACTCACTCACTCACTTTCTACATCTTGACGCTAGAAAAATGATGACCGGTCGTCGTTGGTACGCAAATGGAAAATTTATCAATCTTCTGACCGTCCAATATCGATAAATTATTAATAGTCATATATTATTAATATTTCTCCCGCTTAATCTTGCTCATCGTACGGATCGACATACAAAACATTTATAAATTATTCTTCTCCCGATATAACGAAACGGAGGACGGTTACCGAGATCATAAATCCTTCATAGCGGTGGGATTAACGGAAGCAGTTGGAGGTTTTAGTTTCAACGATTTGTGATGATCCAGATCTGCGTGAGCCTGCATATTAGATAGAAAGCAAAAGAGAGAGAGAGAGAGAGAGAGAGAGAGAAAGAGAGAAAGAGAATATCTCGATCGCCCATCGTCGAGCGCCCGAATTGTTGTCACCGAAATAAACATCCGGGCACATCTGCGCGCGCATTTTTCACAGCCGCCGTAAAAGGAAATGAATTTCCTCCACACGTGGCCCCCGTTTCATTTCGATTCACGCAGCCTCCAAAAGCGCTCGAACATCTGTCCGAGTTAGGAACAGTCGCCAGATTTTCTCTCCCGAATTTCGTGAACGAATCGATTTTCGATCGACTGCTGAAAGCTCGCCGGCAAGCCGCGAGAAATCCATGTTAATCCACTCAGAGCAATATATCAGAATGATAATAAAAAAAAAATATAAACGGATTCGGAAATTGACGGATTCGGGATAATTTTCTCTTTCTTTCTTTTTCTATCTCCATTTTCTGCGTCTGCGATGCTCGGGGAAATATTTACATGGCGCGAATTCCAAAGTGTTTGAACAGAATCGTTGTCGAAAAAGCGCGTGTTCACGTCGTCCACGTCGGCGGCGACTAACGGCGCTCCCGTAAGTTACAGGATGCGTCTGATGTGTTTAACATGACAAAGAGGATAGAGCTGGATGCGCGTCACACAGCATCGGTTCTCCCTGGAATCGCAGTAGCGACAAAAACCCAGGTATATGTGCCGGCTGATCGATACGGTAGAGCAAGAGAAATGTATGCGTATAATACATACATACATACATATATACACACACGCACACACCCAGAGCGAGAGAGCTCTAAAATATAATAATCGCAGACAGCTGTGCGCTGGAAGAGGATCGGCTGCTCTTGACACCCGTGTCAAATCGAATACAGAAGCTTTTACCTTTATTTAGCGGCCGAATAATTTATTATCATACTTTGTCTTACTTTTCCTATTCATTCTTATTTCTCTGTGTGAGGATTTTTCAATTCATCCGAGTCGAAATTTTGGTTCTACATTAGCTGATCAATATGGAAGTTACCAATGACTGATACTATGATTGAGTTTATTTCAACATCGTAACTATGGAGGGAGCGAGTAAAACATGTAATCTGTATAACGAAGCTCAACGAATATTTGCCAATTTGGAAATCTGTGGATTTATCGTGAGACTAGCTATTCGAATTTCAGTTGAACTTTGGCACAGTCCATGGGAGATCAACGTGACAGTTAAAATGTTAATTTCGTAAACTTGAACTTGTTCGTCAAACTAGAAGAACCAGTAAAGAATCTCGAGATATAATATTATACAAGCTATTATCCTCCGTTAATGCCGCGGATGTGTACTTACTACTCGTTCTCTCTCATCTAACATTTTAATTCGAAGAAATGTTTAATAACTATTTATGTCGACATTCTCTAATGTATATCTAATATTTATTTTTAATTTTAATCGCAAATAGATTGTGATGTGAACTAAAAGTAAAAATATATGCGATGAAGAAATACTAAATAATATAAAAAAAATCAATGGAAAATTTAGATAAAAAATGGAGAAAATAATAGATAAAAAAGAATAGATTTTCTTCTTTTATAATTTTTTTATTTATCTGTATTTACGTTGGAAATTCCTGATAGGTTTTCAAAAATGTGAAGGGGAAGGAATTATAATATAGTTGCTATATATTGCTATAAAATAACAATTGTGTGTCCGAGAATATCAACGGAAATATAATCTTAGATTCTCAGTATACACACTATCTCTCTATGAAAAAAAGAAAATACTTGAAAATTTATTTGTGGGCTATAAACTTTATTTTTACGGAAACAAATTTTATTTCACAGAAATAAATTTTTTCAGTAAAGTGTAATTTATTTTTTCTTAGTGTACGGGCAATATTATAATTGAGTCGTAAAATAATCTGTGAAAATCAGCACGGTAGTCAACGTTTTAATTATAGATTCGTATTCGTGGACCGTTTTCGGCTGTTTGAGTCGTCATCTCTTGTGTAAAAAGAATATATAGGTTAACGACTAATCCAACAGATTCATAAAGTCGTGATTATTTATTAAATTACGAACGACGGTTTTAGGACAAATTCTAAATTTCAAATCGAATCGTCAGAGTAAGCAAAATCGGAAACATTTCACCTGACAAACGATATGACATACCTGGAAACACATGACGTAGCGTTAACTGCATTCCCATCCTTTCGGCCCTGGCTTGTCGGTTCAGCACTCCGCTGCTTCGCCCTCGGGGTACGCGCGTATGTCGTTGATCTCGGCACCGACGCCGACACTCGTGTGGACACCACTCTATCGGCAAAAAACATTAATTAACACAACGCCGACGAAAGTCCGATTCTTCGCGCGGGACGCGCGACAACAAAATGGCCGACAGTCGTTCCGCTAGAGTGTCTAGAGTGCAGCTTTTAGTTGCACTTCACACTTGCACTTTTTGCACTCGCCGGGAGATTATGCCCATATCACACTAGCGATTGCGTCTGCATTTGCGTTGCGTCGTTTACCAATCAGAACGATGATCGCAAATCGCGATTGCCAGCAGTTCCTTTCTGATTGGAAGATGCAACGCGAACGGAGACGCAATCACTAATATGATACAGATATTAGGCATGACGCGTAAAGCCGGAATCAGATTACGTATTGGAGATTGAGAATTGTGGATTGAGGATTAGATTTCGACGAATCAACGAACTTCGATTTTGGCTTGCTTTGCTCCAATTGGTCAAATAGCAATCTTCAATCCACAATCCTCAATTTCTAATGCGTACACGGAATAAAAGGTTTGGTTGAATTAACCAAATATCTGGTCGAATATGAACGATCCAGAAATTCCGATTGAAGTAACCCGAATTCTGTTTAAAGTAACAAGATTTTTAACAGATTTGCCCAGATATAAAATCAGCCCCGTGGAAAAACCACAAATCAAAAACCACGGGGAAGATGGTCTTCTTTTCCTTAGGTACCAATTTCTTTGGAGACAAATAACTAAAACAACAAAATATAAAACGCAAAATTTCTACTTTTTTAAAGTTAAAATACGGGTGTCTTACAGTTCTTTAATCAAATCTGTCTTTTACTAAAAGACGCTAACCTATCTGCATGAACTATTTTTTTTCGATGTTTACTTGATTTTGAAATACAATATACTATCTCATTTAAACATTTTACTATCTCATAAGGATCTTCCCAATATAGATGTATAGTTAAGTTGACTTAAACAGAATTCGGGTTACTTCAATCGGAATTTCTGGATTGTTCATATTCGACCAAATACTTGGTTAATTCCACCAAACCTTTTTTTCCGTGTAGTCTAATTCCGGTTTAACACGAAATATTTCCATTTCCTGGTAAGAACGATAACCAAGACGTCGACACGCGTACGACGGTACGTGTGCATATTGTTCGGGACGCAATGACATCGGCTCGATCGCGGGGAAGTACACGAGAGACGATGATACCAAACAATCGGCGCTTTCAAAAAAAAAAAACATAAGCAGTCGCGCACGCGGTTGCCGCCGTCGCCCGCTATTGAAGGACGCGTACATCTTGACGGTTGGTAGAAGTACATTCATATAATCAACATTTGCGAAACGTCACAAATCGGTCGTTTTTTAATTCATCGATGGATCCATCGCACGATGCGCAAATGCTGCATTTCGCTGAATTTACGCATCATGCGATAGATCGATGAATTAAAAAACTCGCTCATCTTGTAGAGGTCGCGAGAATATCAGCGGCGCATCCACATCGAAAGTGCCGCCCGCGCAACCGTTCGACGGCGATTAGGCTGAAAGTGTACGGTGTACAGAAAAGTATACATAAGTCTTGTAATAGTTAACAAATGCGTTTGGTGAGTTTAGTTGATTGCTTCAGATATTTCAACATGTATAATTAGTATCAAATATAGCAATAGTTACCAGTAATAATTATAAAATGATTAGTAAAACAAATTCTTTATTTAGTTCAGCCACTTAAATGCCTTGGTAAATAACACCAAATAATTTAGTGATATTACTAAATAGTGCGACCATTATCAAAGTATTTCGTCACATTTCATATATTTATCACATGATATAGTAAGTATTACTAAATAAGATGATTTTTTGTAACAAATTGTTTAGTAATACGTATTACATAAGTTGGTAGTAGTCTTGTTAAGATTATTTATTAATATTTATTAAATTATTATTTGATTATATTTACTTACATGTTCAGTTGGGATTGTTTTACAAAAACATCTGGTAACTATTACTCAAGCTTAATGGTTATTAGCAAATCTTTTTTCGGTAAGGTCTATCCTTCTTAACTGAACTCTCAATTCAACTAAAAGTGCAATAAGACAAATATATTTTGTTTTACTTTAACTTATTGTACCAGTTCAGGCAGCTAAAAAGAACAGATCTGTAGACAAAAATATACACAAGTAAATCGACCAATTACGATCGATTCTTCTTGCTACGTCACGAGAAGAATAATCGATCGCGATTAGTCGATCAGCTTACTGCTTAAGCTAACTTGTCTTCAAAGTTCGCTGTTGAACAGTTGAATTATAGCCTGTACATTTTTTCTGTTGGAATGATATCATGTGAAATCGGAAAAGATAGATTTAGAACGAAGAATAGTTAGAGAGGAGAGAATAATTAATGCGTTTGGAAAGGTGGAGACAGTGTGTCATAGAGCTACTTTCGAGTGTCAACTGATCGTCGAGTGACCGACGACGGTGCCGACGACGGCTAGAATTCCGTCGTGTTTGATCTCACGGTAAACTGCCGAATCATAATCTTAAACTTTTGAATATCTCTCGTGATCGAACAGATAAGATTGCTCTTATCGTTAAAGAAATATAACGTGATAATCTGCGCGTTCATAAAGATTAGATACCTCGAGAAAAGGTTTCCAAACAATTCTGTCGCCTGCTAGACGCCTGATAGACTTCTCAGTCGAAATTTATAGTACACGCGAGCGTGAATGTCGCGAGTGCTGAATTATGCGTAATATTCTTTGAGAATATGCGTTTCGAGAAAGAAGATAGAAAACACGCGACGACGTGAATTCGCGGATTAGAGTGTTGAAAATGCAAGGCTAAGAGAGAGAAGATGCGATTAAGGCGATTTGAGCTGGCGGAGCTCGTTCGCTCGTTCGTTCGCAGTGACAGAAACTAGACGGGACACATCGCGTCTATTATCGCATGAACACGTACGTAATGTATGTCTGTAGGTTAATGCAATTCACTCAGATCTCATTGCGAGAATAGTACGGCAGGGAATTGATTGATTGGCTCTTTCGTTTCAGCGCGGCGATATATAGTCGCGGTCTGTCGCGCGCGAAAATGGTAATACCTTGACCGTGAACACAGACACGCTGTCTACACTGGCTGTGTGACAATCCGAAGCTTTTCCCCGCTTTTCTTTAACCCATAGACCAAGGCCAGGTAAAGAATTCGACAGGGGACCGTCGGGGTCGTTGACCTGTCCGTGTCCTATGTGTGTGTCAAACCTCTTCTCTAAATGGCGTATCATAATTTCCTCATCAAATGTGACAGATGGACATCAAATGTCCACTTCGCTTAACGTTATTACCATCCCGGCTTTTGTACGTGTGCGCATGTTTATTTTTTTCTTGGTTTTCGACATACAACGAGACATAAACAATAAAACTGAAGTGGTGAGGTAAAAGTTTCAATGCCCGAGCACGTATCCGAACGTATCCTGAACATCTTTTGTCCTTTCAAGTGACTCAATCAATCACAGTGAGAATTTATAACATTGGTCTGACGTTTTCGACAATCCTCGAATGTGTGTGATCGGTCGGGACAATTCACTGAATTACTTCAAATTTTGTCGCTTACGTTTTCCCACGTGCCGTCCGCTTAATCGACCAAACCGAAATTGAAATTCATTCGTTATTCATGTGCGAATTATTATTTCACTCCCTCTGACTTCGACGTGCGTGTACGTTGGAGCGCGGATGAAAGAGAAAAAAGAACAGGAAGAAACGCATCCCGCGATTGACCGTTGATAGATCGAAAAAGTACTGCCATGCGGGAGATAATGGCGAATATTTTTGTAGCGATTCGCGACGTGGTGCGTCACGTCGCGTCGCGTCGTGTCGGCAGCTACATCAACATGACCGGTTTCCATTGGGCGTTTTTAACATCTGCCGCTTCGAATCTTTCGACTGTGTGCGTACCCACGTGCATCCGTGCCCGTGTGTATATGCTGCGTGCGTGCGTGCGTGCATGCGTACGTGCAAGCGTGTCCTGCCACGCAACGTCGCGCGGCGTTTTCCCACTGACGATCGACACGCATGCAGATATAGGCTGCCGCACGATCTGTTCTGCGACTTGATCCAATTCTCGCAGCTCCTATGACGAAGCGGGACAAGCGATCGCTACCGATTCCGTTCGTTGTTCGCGGATAAATCGCGCGGGAGAGAATAGGAGAGAAAGAGAGAGAGGAAGAGAAGCTAGAGTATGTTTTCCCTCGGGAAGTTACCCCTTAGGATTTACAAGATCATTGCAACTTCTTAAAAATGATTTAAATTGTATAGTTTAAATAGTACTAGTAGTCATAAGTTAAAGGTTACAATTTTGAGAAAAATATCAACTTAAAATTTCTAAAAAAGGCACGTTGCAGTCACGCCATTTTGGAAAAGATTTAAAAAAAACAGACAGAAAGAGATAGAAAGAAAGAAAGAGAGAGAGAGAAGGAGGGAGAGAATATATTTCCCCTCGAGAAGTTACCCCTTAGGATTTACAAAATCATTGCAACTTCTTAGAAATGGTTTAACTAGTATAGTTTAAATAGAACTAGTAGTCATAAGTTAAAGGTTACAATTTTGAGAAAAATATCAACTCAAAATTTCTAAAAAAGACACGTTGCAGTCACGCCATTTTGGAAAAGATTTAAAAGAAACAGACAGAAAGAGAGAGAAAGAAAGAAAGAGAGAGAGAGAAGGAGGGAGAGAGAATATATTTCCCCTCGAGAAGTTACCCCTTAGGATTTAAAAAATCATTGCAACTTCTTAGAAATGGTTTAACTAGTATAGTTTAAATAGAACTAGTAGTCATAAGTTAAAGGTTACAATTTTGAGAAAAATATCAACTCAAAATTTCTAAAAAAGACACGTTGCAGTCACGCCATTTTGGAAAAGATTTAAAAGAAACAGACAGAAAGAGAGAGAAAGAAAGAAAGAGAGAGAGAGAAGGAGGGAGAGAGAATATATTTCCCCTCGAGAAGTTACCCCTTAGGATTTAAAAAATCATTGCAACTTCTTAGAAATGGTTTAACTAGTATAGTTTAAATAGAACTAGTAGTCATAAGTTAAAGGTTACAATTTTGAGAAAAATATCAACTCAAAATTTCTAAAAAAGACACGTTGCAGTCACGCCATTTTGGAAAAGATTTAAAAGAAACAGACAGAAAGAGAGAGAAAGAAAGAAAGAGAGAGAGAGAAGGAGGGAGAGAGAATATATTTCCCCTCGGGAAGTTATCTCTTAAGATTTACAAAATCATTGCAACTTCTTAGAAATGGTTTAACTAGTATAGTTTAAATAGTACTAGTAGTCGTAAGTTAAAGGTTACAATTTTGAGAAAAATATCAACTCAAAATTTCTAAAAAAGGCACGTTGCAATCACGCTATTTTGGAAAAAATTTAAAAGAAACAGACCGAGAGAAAGAGAGAGAGAATATTTTCCTTAAGGAAGTTACCCCTTAGGATTTACAAAATCATTAAAACTGCTTAGAAATAGTACTGATTTTGAGACAAACATCTCTCTATTTAAGATTACTAAAGAAGGAAACGTAATAGCCACATCATTTCGAAAGAGATTTAAGAAAAATAGTATAGAAAAACAGAGAGAGAGAGAAAGAGGCAGAAGTCGATAATCGTGACGACAACACACCCCGTGCAGGGGGGTGGAAAAACGATGAATCATCGTATCCTCGACGAGACCGTCTGAAAGCCGGGTGTTCGTCTCTTATTCTCGAGGAAAAGCAAGTCGCACAAGGAAAGAGCAAGCCGCGTACGCGACGCCGATCGAGCATCCATCAGGAGCTTTTCTCCCGTTGATGCGTTGCTTAGCAGCGTCTAAGCGTCCACGTATTCTTACTTGACGCGAAGTTAATAAGCGAATTCTTGAGGTAGCGATATTCCACCGCTATTCCGGAGGCAGCTTAGCGATTTTAATTAAAGTGGAAAGCACGCCCGGCGATGAAGCGTCCGCCCGTAGAACCGGGTCACGACGTCTTCCGATTAATCGTTGGAAATTTCTCATTTCGCGCCGCGCCGATTCAATCGAGTCGCCGGAGCATTAATCGTATCTTGACGGTGCATTCGAATGAGGACATCTCGGTCTTTTTATCCCTTAAATGACGAGTCGGGCTCAACGATCACCCAATTCGTTATATATTTTTCAACGCGATCTATTGGAATTCTGTCATATGTTTTCGCGCCAAAGTCAGAGATATTTTATACACTGAGAAAAATATTTTCATATAATAAAAAAGTGTGTCCTCGTTAAATTGCTGTTTGTTTAATTTAATACAAATTTTAACATGCAGAAAAAGAGAGATACATTTAAAAAATGGTGGTCTAATATACTGAGAAAGAAATACTTGAAAATTTATTAGTAGGGGATAAAGGTTCACCTCTCGCGGAAATAAATTTTATTTCGCAGAAATAAACTTTATATCTAATTAAATTTTCACATATTTTTTCTCAGTGTACGACTACCCGACATTGTTGTTTACGTCCCGTAATTTCATCTTGTCGTTATCTTTCTTTCCCTAAATATTGATCGCGCACCTAAATTGACGAACTTATCAGTTTACCGCGCACGTTCGTGCAGGACGCCTCCCTTGTTCGTTATTTCTTGAAAAAAAAGAAAAGCAACTAAAAAATTTAAAATGCACGCGCCAGTTCAAAATGATCGATGCGATCCATACGTTTGCCGCGGCGATAAGAGATACCTCCCGCTGTATCACTGAGTAAATTCGACTCTTTTCGATTCGACACGGAGGGAAGAAATAACGGACGGTCGCGCTCTCTTCTCGCTATTCTCCGTGTCAGGTCAATTTGGCCACGCGCACTCTTTTTCGCCTCGTCTGTTTGCGACGGGTAGAGGAGACGCAAAGGAGAGGAGGAAGGGAGAAGGGGAGGAACACACGCGACTACTACGCAACGATATAAATTGAATAGGTAGAGGCGAACATGGCCGCGCGCGTTGCGTCGCGTTCGTTCGTTCATTCGTTCGTTCGCTCGCTCGCTCGCTCGTTTGTTCGTCCACTCACTCGCTCGCTCATGGATAGAAAAATCCTGGGAACGAGACCCCTGTGTACAAGAGACTCGAGCGAGCCAATGAAAATAAAAAGGATGTCAGATTGTCGCGGCGTCGGAAGTTACGGATTAAGTTAGGAAGTAGACAGTTAATGCCGCTTCGGAGAGAGAGAGAGATAGAGAGATAGAAAGAGAGCGACATGGATGGATGGAAAGAAAAAGAGAGAGAGAGAGAGAGAGAGAGAGAGCACGCTGCGTATGCGTGCCGAAAAATTTTGCACACTCGTCGTCGTTTTCGCGAGAGCTCCGAAGAACAAGGCTCGAGCGCATACGCGAGTACCGCCGAATATTTATCCGCTCGGAAAAAGAAGTTTCCCCCGTCAATAATGATGAGATTGGAACTCTCAACGTTGGCAAAATTTTGTTCACAGCGACGTTTTATTAACTATCCTCGAAACGAAGATAACGTTGAAATTCGACAAAGTAACGTAAGTAACGAGAGAATTGACGTTTTTGAGTGTGCGCACAACATCAATGCACAGAGACAGCAGAGAAGCCTCTGTCACGTTTTTGGCATAAAATGGGTCGACTACTTCAAACAGTCAGTTTACCACGACCTTGGCAACAAATACAACCACCCTAAACTTACCACCTCCGAATCGCGCGGTCTGAAGAGGGTTGTAACCCCGGTCTGGTTGATTTGCGTTTAAACGCGAGGACACCGTGCCCTCTCTCTTTCTCTGTCTCTCTTATTTTCTCTCTCTCTCTCTCTCTCTCTCTCTCTCTCTCCTCGTGCCAGTAGAATCACTCGATTTAACCGGTTCGCGTACGGCCGACTCGGGGACGCGATGAATCGCGGCTGTGCCTCCGAGCTGGCGGGCAACGAGAGCGGTTAACGAGGGCGCTGAATGATCGAGAGAGGCTTATATTTCGTACGGCCACATCGCGTCGTAAAGCCAGCGAGCGCGAGAACAGCCGTGAGAGATCTTGCGCTCGGCGATCGTGAGGCATTCCCGAGGTCTCTGGCCGATTAAACGAGCGTCCACGCGACCAGCCGCCGTTACCGGAGGGAGGAGGAAGGTAGAAAGGGCCGACACCCTCGAGTCCAGGGGATGGTAATGCGAAGAACTGACCTAGCTATCCTCGCTGCCCCGGTGAAGGTGGCGGCTGCCGTTAAGTAAAATACGACGTGGGGGCGTCCTTGACTCCGACAGACGCCTCCTCCTCTTCTTCCTTCTCCTCCTCCCCCTTCTCCTTCTCTTCCTTCTCCATCCTGAGCGCGGGGCCTGTATTAAGATATCAAATGGGCAAATCCGAGGGTTCCCCTACTCACTCTCTAGACGTCATGTGCCTCGACACGGAACTACCCTTTTCTGGTGGTAATGTATCGCTTGGCCCTCCTCGGCTCTCGCCAGTCTCTGGAGGAGCCCGGGACACGGGGGTGGCTTTCGGGATCATGAATGAAATCCCTCCTGGTGGCTCTACCCTGGGGTGTCGGACCCTCCGTACCTATTCCCCTGTCCTACTCCTGGCCAGGAGTAACAACACCCTTATGTTCAAAACAATAACATGACCACGTGCGGTGGCCACGTGGTCCCTTTAAGATTTCGCCGCACGGTCAGTGACCAGTAGCCAAAGGTGCGATGTCAAAGCTGATGATTCACGTTGATGTGGGACCGAAATGGGACAAAGAACACTGGCACACTGTTTGGAGTGCCTGTTCTTTCTTCACGACGTTGTCTAACCAAAATCGGCTCTCCATTACCATTTAACACGGATCGGACGTGCGGATTATCGAGGAGTAGAATTCGACCGAACGTCCGGATTCGACATGGAAGTAGTTTCCGACGCGCGGTGTACGCGCGCGGCGCAAAGAGCACGTGAACCGCAGTCATTTGCGAGACACGCCGTCGGACGTGTTTTTTTTTTTCTTTTGACGAATAGAGAAATTACGCCGAGCATCGCGATAATAGCTGTCCTTGTTATAAATAGCACCTGATGCAGAAGAAGTATTAAGTATTCCCCTCCTGCTTTAAAAGCACGTTACTTCCATTACTTACACCTGCCAGCGAGTCGCACGCAGTTCCGCCCTTTCCACGCAATCCTCGCAGTCGCGCGCGCCAGTGAGCGCCGTGAAAATTGTACGCGCAGCCGTCGCGTCGACGCCGTCGAATTTTACCCACTTTTCTCTCCGCCACGTCGAAATTCTGGCCGAAGATGGAAGATAAAAATACGCTCCTCGCGATCTCGCAAGCGGCTCCTCGTCATAGGCGAACTTTGGCAGAGGATCCGCCGTCACACTTCTCCTTTCCGCCCGCGATAATTAATTCTGCGATCTGAAATTTTAAAGTTTGTTATCGACATTATGCCTAATCCTCTAGGCGCAAACGTATCTTTTGGAACATACAATACAGTCTGGGTCTGTCAAACCCAGACAACTGAACGGGAACTTGAACTGCCATATAACATTGTTGAGAATCGATACTTTTGGACATATCTCTTTCCAAAAATAAACACTAGAAGTGGAAATATCTTAGAAACAAAAGATATTTATTTTGTGAACTGAGAAAAAAAAATATTTATTTGTAGGATATACAGTTGTTTCTATGAAATAAAGTTTATTTTTGTGAACACATTTTATATCCCACAAATACATTTTCAGGTGTTTTTTCTTCGGATTAGTAACATGTTTACTTACATTGTTATAAAACATTTTACAAATAAGAGAATATATATTTTCTTAAAACTTCTCTCTTAGCTTTTCACGAAAGCAATCGTTTCTTCTATTTAAATAATTCAGATTTAAATAAATCCATTATTTTAGTAACGAATAAGTATCTTTTAAATACTTTTGTGTAGAAAAGCCTCAGATGTAAGATAGTAACGCAATGAAATCGACATCTGCAGACAGATTACGCCGTTTCGAAATTTTTCCGGAATCTTTATAAAAGTTGACGAGTTGAACATTCGTTCGCGCGCCCCCGCGACTCAATATTACACGCGAGTGGATTGATCCGAGCTTCATTCGATCCGAAGGTTTTCTAGCAAGGCACGAAAGCACGAAAGAGGACGACAGAGTCGGCGAACGTCGGTTTGCACGCGGAGAGACGCCCTTGTGCCCATGAGCCATGGGGTTGGTATGGAAGCCAGCTGCGAGTCGGCGAAGCGCGACGAACTGAGGCCGCGTGTACTCGGAAACGTTGTAAAAATAATTATTAAAGCCGTTACCACGCCGTACTACTTGTTCGTCCGTCTGACACGTGTACCGACGACGCCACGGACGGCGGTCCAAGGGCTCGCCGTGTTCCTCCGGAAGTCATGGTCCGGCGTCGATCAGTCTGGCCATCGATCGTAACAGAATTTGCCGCTTCGAATTTCATCGCGGCTCGATCGCGATTTTAATTATTGCGTGTCGTCGATCTCCTATCGGGCGTCCTATCCTCGCTAGCTTACTGTTCTACTGGATAAAATATTTAGACAAACTTCTATTTCCTATTAAAATGAAAAAGAAAGTTTACATAAATCCATAATCAAATACGAATGGCTGCGAAGTTAAACAAAGTTTACGTTAACGTTACTATTAGATAATCATAAGTGAGCGTTTAAATTATAACAAATGCTCAAAACTGCCGCCATTTGATTGAAGACAGGTACTGACACGGCAAAGTAAGGATTGTCGAGCCATTTCAAAGATTTGCGGACGATTCTTTACAGTTTATATAGAACATAACAACATTAATAATGCGTTGGCGAAGCATCTATTCGTTATCAATATTGCGCATACATTAAACGCTTTAGACATCAAATGGTCTTCCTCTGCCAATCCATCTATCTGGATAATTATTATTCACCGCATTTCTCTTTTGGCGACTAAGATATGATACTCTATCGTAAACCATATGTTTTGAACATGCTGCCCGTCCCTCGACTATTATAATTTATACATGTTTACTTATGATTATTTAACAGTAACGCGTTAACATAAATTCTGTTTTATTACAACTGCGCTAATATTTGATTATAGATTTATATAAACTTTTTTCTTTATTTTAACGAGAGGAATGCATCCTAAAAAAGTTTATCTAAGTATACATATAACGCTCGCGTTAATCGAACAGTCGAAATCGTTCTTCGCGGCCATTCGTTCGTCGTAAGCGGGCCTGTTTAGTCACACGAATTCGCCGATGTCTCCGATTATCGCGTGCGGTTTTCTGTAACGAGCGTCATTATTCGCGGAAACCTCAACGCAACGCTCGCTTTTTGCCATACGTTGCCCGGCAACCTGTCTTACCAACCTACCTACCTACCTACCTACCTACTAACGTACCTACCTACCTATCTACCTACCTTCTTACCTACCTTCCTTCCGACGCGATGCGACGCGACGTATCTACCATTTTTAACCGCCGCGCTTCTGTAATGGGCGCGCAACGGCTCTTTCGTCCGGCGCGCCGGCCATCTGTCGCGCGGGGAGGAAGATGGTTTGACGAAATGAAAGTCAGCTGATCGAAAAAGCAGCACGCCCGCGCGGCTTAACCTCGACGATCTTCCAGCTGCGCGGCAACGTTCAAAATCATCGCGCGATACACAGATATGCAGTTTCGGCGGCGGGCGCGAGTCGCCGGACGCGCGATCATTCGAAATGAGGAACAGGCGTCCCGCTGCTGCCGTTGGCTGAAGGCGAACGGAAAGAGAGAGAGAAAGAAAGAAAGGGGGAGAGAGAGAGAGAGAGAGAGAGAAAAAAGAGCACGGAGAGCGCGCTTCCCTGCTCTCAATTATTGCCAGACGAAACAACTTGCCGCCGAATAAACAGCGAGCCACGAATTTTTTCGCGATCGTCATAGTGCCTGAGACGAGAGGGGAGTTGCGTTTGACAATATTATCGGGCTTACCGTTGCGTTCGCGCATGCACGTGACACGCGTGCAACGGACGCGCGTTCACAGGGGAGAAATAAAAAAGGGACGACCGCGGGATGCCGTCGCGGCGACGATGACGGCGACGGCGACGGCGAGACGTCGTCGAATAGCACTTTATTGACCGACCGATCGAACGATGCACACGACGGCGTGCGGAAATCCGGGATTTTCGTCGCTGCTTTAGAAAACTCGGCGACAATTTCCCGATAACGGTGATGTCGCCATTGTCGCTTCAATATCGAGTAAAGCGTTGCATTAGCGTTGGACATTGATTGATTATAAAGTTTTTTTTTTTTTTTTTTTACTAAAATGATTAACAGATCAATAATTGATTGAACTAGTCGATCGTCATTTGTATGTGTAAAATCGATTGATGGAATTAATTATTAATCAGTGTGTAATATCAATCAAGGTTTGACTGATAATCATTTCGTCAGTCGACGTAATAATTTACGATTTTATATATGACGATTGATTGGATTATTGATTTGCTGATAAAAACATCAATCCCTGGATACGCACTTAATCATTAACATTTTTATTGTTTTGGTCTTTAAATGCGAATATTTGAACTTTTAATATACAATTTATGAACATGTATTTTGAATATATATGTATATATTCTACATTAAAAGTTTAAACATTCGTACTTAAAAATCAAAACAATAAGAATGTTCAGAATTAGGTATATGCCCGGAGGAATTGGTATTTTACACACGGAAAGCAAAACTTGAATTCAAGATACATCAATCAGACTGTTCGGTGAGATATGAACGAACTATATTTTTGATAATCAAACAAATTTAGTTACAAACGTTCAGTTAAGGGAACTAAACGAGTTTAGTTATCTTAACTAAACAAAATTATATTCACATTTTTTATTAGAAATTTTATTACTTTTTTAACTGAAAATTGTTTGGTAAATATGCATAAAAAGTTATACCTTATCAATGTTGTTGAGATTGATATATATTGTAGAGATGATAGAAGCGATTTGCACAAAGAATCATGGTAAAGAATCATAGGAAACGATATTGATTGTTGAGATATATAAATGAAATTTAATATTTTTATATTTTTCTAATTGACGTTGCCGACAGTACAAAGTTTATTTATGCTATAAATATGAACTCTAATATTATAACAAAAAAACTTAAAGAATACATTCTTTAGAAAGGTTATAGCTTTGCTCTTACAGATTAATACGACAAACCTCAGTGTTCTTAAAACAATTTATAATACCTTAAAAAAAGCATTAAAATTATGAAACTTCAACTTGTTATCTTTTAAACCAATATCGTCCCCTACTTGATTCTTTTTGCGAGTCATTTCTAACTGTCATCTTTATAATAAGGTAACGATCTCAATCGAGTATCAATTTCGGATCAGGAAATATATAATGTATATCTAATTAAAAATTGTATCTAAATTATATTTACTAAAAAGAGAGTTCAAGCAAATAAAAAAGAATTTAATATTTTGCTGAGGAATCAAAAGAAATCAAAAGGAATTTAATATTTTGCTTTTCCGGGTACCTCGCTTTAAAGAGTCAACAGCCAACACTACGCCTGATGTCCTCTGTTTTCGTTTTATTTTCGAGCGCGCGCGCGCAATAATATAAGACAACCTAACACTACCGTCGTACTACGTGCAACACTAAGACTTGATTTTTTTTATCTAATTTCTTTTATCTTCAGTGTATACGTGTTGTGTTTACAAAGGATCGCGTGTAGTACCGACGACGCCATTTCGAGCGACGCGCTATGAACTCGGGTGGAATGGATCTTTCCACGACTCTCGATAATTTCCGATTATCCCGCGATTATCATTATCGTCTTACGCGAGTGCGTGACACTTGGCATCGGAGTAAACACGGCGGTCGTGCGGAAGTCGTCGTACTGTGGGCCCCACCGTCTAGATATCGGCAATTAGAAGCACGCGTACGACCGACAGCTGCCTCGGGACGCGGCGATTTGGCACGATAAGGTAATTAAAATATTTCGTAAACACGTTTCCTCTGTGGCCAGCAGATGCGCGGCTTCTGATAAGAGGAAGGAGGAGTGCGACGCGCGAATCTTATTGTCCGGTTCGAGCGCTTCGAATTTTCGTGAGACTGCGCGCGGGAACGCAATGGTCAAGTGATCGAATTTGGCGCGCACGGCAAAATTGGGACTTTTCCGATTCCAATTACGAAAATGCGCTCTCTTTTTTTTTCTGTCTTTTGCGCGCGCATGCGCGCGTGCGGTAGGCAGATGTGCCGCTCTGGAGAACGCGGCTTTGTGTTTAACGTTTTCTCCTCGGGGGCGAATGTTCGGTGTCGTCGAGGCTTAAATAAATATAAGCACCGGCTGCCACCAGGCTGCTTCGCCTTCGCCTCGTCGCTGCCGCTGCGGTTACTGAGTTGTAGCTTCCTTAAACGGACTGTTTGTGTCGCGCGAGAAAACGTCGCGTGGAAACGGAAACTGCTGCCGTTTGAGCCGAAAGATGAACACCAAAATCGTCGAGTCGGAGAACTTGTTTGCGTGTGACTCGATTTTTCTGAGGAATGCGGAAGATAAGAACGTATGACAAAGACAAAGAAAGAGTGAGAGAGAGAGAGAGAGAGAGAGAAGGAACGACAAGCAACGAATTGATCCGACGAGGAAGAGAAAGAGGGAGGAAGAGATTTCTTGGTTGTGACGATTAATTACGCTCTCATTCCCGCCCTCTCAACGATGCATCGTCGATATTGACATTTGCCTTGCCTCCCTTTCACACCGTCTGTCTGTCTTTCTCTCTCTCTCTCTCTGTCTCTCTCTCTCTCTCTCTCTCTCTCTCTCTCTCTCTCACTCACTCACTCGCCCAGCTCGCTCTCTCGTTCACAAGAGGGAGAAAGCCACACGAGGAAAGCGCGATCAGAAGAGGGAACAGATACATGCGAGTACATACATATGTACGTGTACAGATTCTGTAGCAAGAGGGGGTGGAAACGAGAATGAGTTAGAGAGAGAGAAAGAGAGAGAGAGGGGACCCCTACCGCCCCTGCCTCTCGAGCGTGTGCTTATCGAGTGCAACGGCGCGGCCAGCGCATTTTTCCTCGTTGTGCCTCACGAAGAGGCAGGTAGGTTGGTAGGTAAGGCAGTCAGGTCGCTAGGAATGCGCGTACAAGGGAATTAGACCATAATCGCCTACGCGCGCGTGAGTATGTGTCGCGCAGGGGGACGTTTTCCGCCTGCCTATGGACCTCGATGTTCACTCTCCGCGTTCGCGCTTCGTCCTCGCCCTCGCCCTCGCCCTCGTTCTTTCCTTCTTCCTTTCTCTCTCTCTTCCTCTGTCTATCACCCCTCGCCCTCGTCCTCACCCTTGCGCACCAATCTTGACCTCACCACGCACGGCAAATTAAACTGGCCCTTTGACGCGCGGAAAGAGTCGCGCGTGTGTATTAATAAGCGAGGATATTCAGCGCTCACCGCGAAACGCAGCGATTCGCGAGGGCGTAACGATTACCTTTCGAGACGTCATTCGAGAAAAATAAAATTCTATTACGCGATGATGAGGGAAAAGCATCGTCGATGATGGCGATGACGGCGACGATGATCGTTCGCAAGTCCCGATATTTAGGAATGTCGATAATGCGAGATATCTTCGGATTCAATTTAAATTTAATTGAGCGTCGCGCTGAAACAGGCCGCGGGAATGCCCGTCTTTCTCTCTTGCTGTCGCTCTCGACAGAGATGGGAAAAGTTCCCGAGGCCTGCTCGCTAATTGGAAATGTGCCAGACTCTCCGAAATTCGCGCGCAATAAGTTATCGGGCCTTCAACGTTTGAAAGTTGAAATACCTTTTCTTGTAGATTATTTATCGCTGACCATCGTCCTGTGTTTCTTCTCGTAACCTATCGGCAGTTACCTCGGAGTTGACTCTCCTCCTTGCTTTAACTACTCGCCACTCCAACGTGCCGTGTACTGTTATAAACACACTATTCGCGTCACAAAGTGAATCTTGATTTTACAGATAAAATTATTAATTCTTTCGGGGGTTTCTTCGTAAAAATCTCGTGGGAGACAATCCCGCACGATTGTCGCATCGACAACTACAATAGCGACTGATTGCTACTTTACGGCAAATGAATAATTACATAGCACACAATCGTCGGTAAAGTCGAGGTGGATACTCTTTCTCGCGACCTCCTCCATAGAAGTCGCCGCGGTTATCACGCGCTTCTCCGTGCGGCGTATCAAGCGTCGGTAATCGCAATCTCCCTGAGGATAATGCAGTTTCCTGTATTCACCTGGTGCAACCTACGAAGGATTTCTATTGTTAAGAAACAACGTGTTCGTCAGATTCAGTGATGTCTGTTTTAGCGCGAAAATATCGTATCGCTCATTCCTGCGGGATTCTGCCGGCGAGTCAAATCTCGAAAACGACTGGTAGGTAAAACAGCGATGTTACCGACGCGTAACAAGAAATAGATCGCGCGCGCGTCTCGCGGGGCGGTGCGCAGTTTTCGGCGGTCTGCGCAACGTACAACATTCGTATCGTTGTATGTACAATGATTTATTGCACGCAATATCTCGCGATCTCGATGAATTATCGTCGACCTGCGACACCGCGGCGCACCAAGTTCACGAGCATCGGTGAGTCGAGACTAATTCTCTCATAAGGACGCAATGCGGCGCGTACAAAAGAATTTTCATAAACGCGCATCGAGGTTACGGGGACGAGCGCGCCAACGAAAATGGCGGTTTGTCGCGGGACGATATCGCAATCTCGATGCACGGCTCCGCATAACTCTATCCTAGGATAGTTTGGAACGCCTCATCGTCCAGAATCTAATCTAACGCGTTGGCCATGGAAGTTATACTTTTATTACCGGTTCTATTGAACTTAACGAGGTCAATTGAGACGATACAGTTGCCTTGATTTTACGATAGCCGAACGCGACGCGGCGGTAAACGGCGATCTGTGCGCGAGCGCGCATTTAACAGTGGTCCTCCTTGGGTTTCAGCACCTGTACCACATGCAGACCGGCGAGGGGGCGTTCCGGGAGCGCGGCAGAGGACGAGGCAAGGGTGCCACGAGGGTGAGTAAATGCGCCTCGGTTAACCCCATTTTCTACTGCAATTCAATTCCCACCCGCTAACGAATAGGAACGGCGTAAGCGAGACTGCCGGCTGCTCCACAATTCGTCTGTCATTCCTTCCTCGTTTCAATGCGTCCGACTTGACCGGAGATTCGTATTTGTTTGTGCAATATGCACACGCAATTCTGCCGCGCTCACGAGTACGTTTCATGAGTGCTTTTATGAAAACAAGAAAAAAGAAGAGACTGCGCAAGCAGAGCTTGGGTTCTGTTGAAAAATCTCCACCTCCCCGTCGAGGGAAAAAAGGAACGAGAGAATAACCGTGAGAATAGTATTGTACTCGTCGTCGAGATGGGATGCGGAAAATCGATATGCTCGGTGATTTATTGACGATTTGCGAATCGCCGGAAAAGTGCCGTGCCGCGCCGTGCCGCGTCACGCAGCGCCGCGTCACGCCGCGCCGCGTCACGTCGCGCCGCGCCGTGTTGCCTCCGTTCGGCTGACGTAGGGCCAGCTATCTCTTGGCACCGGCTGTACGGAGTTTCAGAACTGATATTAAGCAAGGTGGTATTGATCGACGCGCGTTGCGCCTGTCCGCGTTGCACCGCCATGTTTAAAATCTGCTTGTGCCTTGAGCCGCGTACGAACTTGAGCACGCATGCGGCCGCACAAGAACTCAACCTGATCGTGTTTCCTCCGGTATGCGCGACATTTGTCACTTTTCTCGCGAAGACGAAGCCCGTCGTGTGTTCCGACTTGGACACGGTGACGCGACTTGTCGATCGTTATTACGCCGCAAATTTTTTATTCCCGCGAACGGCATGGCGATGATGTTAGTTGCAAAGCTGAGGTCATGTGTCTCTCAGTCGTTTTAGTTACTAATTAGTTAGTCCTCCGTGCGATTCGCTAGTCATTTCCGGGCAGTACCACTTTTCTTCTTACATACGAGTGAAAAAAAATCAGGGGGGAGAGGGGAAGATTTTTTCTATTAGTCGAAGTTTCAACACTGAGAGTAAAAATATCTAAGAAAGAAATAGTGAATATCTATTCGATAGGTACTAATGACATCTTCACTTGTGTTAATATAAAATATTTCGCAAATAAGAGAATATATATTTTCTTGAAATGTTAAGGAAACCTTAACTTCTCACAGAAGCAATTGTTTAATCGAATAAAGGAATTTAAATTCAAGTACATATATTATTATAGTACCCACTAAGGAAATATTTACTATTTCTTACATATTCTTTGTCTTGGAATCTTTTCTGTTCAAGATGTTGTAGTTTTCGATATTTCCCATTCTCTTTTTTTCGCGAAGCACAGAAGAAAGGAAAGAATTATTGACTTTCCGACTGTTTCTATAACATATGAATCACATGGAACGTCAGTCTTGTATTACTCATGCGTTATCTTTCAATTATAAACTAGATGTCCGCACGCAGGAAGTATTATTATTATTATTGAAGTTGAACTCAAAGCGCGCAAGTGACGCGTGTCCATAGAGATTTCTGACTTTTCGAAATTTCGAACGGTCGAGGGGAACAACACGAACTTTGAGAAAAAAGGAAGGAATGTTATTGGATTCTTGAGCCGTCGTCGTCGTCGTCGCTTGTTACGCACTTGCAAGTCGCGAGGCCCAACGACCCATAGGGCCCTGCGTTATCTAATCAGCGGACGAACGTAGATAAGATAACAGCGACATTCCTACATTTGGCTGGTCTGGTAAAATAAGATAGGGACGTTATATATTACATTGGGTGCGTTCAGGCAGCTCGCTACCCAACGCTAACGCTACCAACTCTGCTCACGGAGTCAAGACAGTGCTAGCGAATGCGAACTCTATGAACAGCGACAGCGTAGTGTTAAGGGCCGCCGTATTGAATGGTTGAGATTTAACTTAGAAATTTTTGTAATTGTGTATCTTGTAGTTGGATCTCCACATAATCCATTTTTTATACGTAAAACCAATGATGTTTAGCTTTTTACTTTTTCTTTCTCTTTATTTCTTTCTGATTTGAACCTCAAGCTTTTAACCAGAAAGAGGTAGAAAGTAAAAAATAGCAAGCAAAGAGTACTTTGTAGATCAGATTTTATAATCAAACAAAAGTCTAAAACTTAATGTGTCCAGGGAATACACACGCAGCACAAACAATTTATTATCACTGTTCGGGAAGCTCGCAAACGCTATCAGTGCACTACTTCGAAAGCGATAGCGTTGATAGCGTCATGACATAGAATGATGTTACGATAGTGATAGATAATATTACTAGTTAGCTCTCCAAATGTACACCCGTCGTATACTCGTCAACTGAGAATAGGGGCCTCTCCTCTTTTCCATCTCGAGCCACGTACTTTTTTCCGGCTCTCTTCCGCGCCCCCCTCGGGAATGAGCCTATACCGACGTGGACTCGCAACATGAAGTTCACTCTCGTCGGGAAGTATGTATCGCAAGGCCGAAGGAGATTTCCGCAATGGAAGGCGCGCGCGACCTTTTTCCGCGTCGTATAGCCGTGGTCTCTCGATGAAACGAGAAAAGCCCGACGGCGTGAAGATCGATGAACTGAGGAAGGCTTAAGGGCACCTCCGTAAGACGGTTCTTCGAGGGCTCGTTTATTAACGTCTCTGCAACTTGTTGCTGAGCGCGTCGCCAGCGGCCCTTCTGACCTCTTTCAGGCCGTCTCCTGCCCGCAACGATCGCTTCGACCGGACTTGCGGTGAGATAGTCCAACTCCCAGAGTCCTCCGGTCGAATGAATAGTGTCTCCTCTGAGGAAATCGCGCGTGTAGCTTCCGAGGACCGATTGACTGGTCGGACCATTCGTTATCCTCCGTCCAAGTCGAATCACACTACAAATGGACAAATTGCGCGCGCTCTCTCTCTCCCCTTCCTCTCTCTTTCTCTCTCTTGACGACATTTATCCGGGTGTGAAATTTTAATCGAACGATTCGTCTCGACTCTGTCGATTGGCGAGAATTGAAACAATTTTTCGAGTCATACACTGAGAAGAAAGTGTTTGGTACTTGTCATAATAACCACATTGTACAAGAATTGAAATCAGAAAGACCAGTTTTCCAGTATGTTACACGTTAAAAAAGGTTTGGTTGAATTAACCAAATATCTGGTCAAATATGAACGATCCAGAAATTTGGTTAATTCAACCAAACCTTTTTTTCCGTGTACCATACACCGAGAGAGTTTTATAATAAAAATTACTGCAGAATTTTGTGACCAAGGAATAGATCGATGTTCTGTCGTAATTAACTATCCTTTCTTCTTATATGTGCTACTTATACTTCAGGAGCTGAAATGTACTAAAAAAATTTACTATATTTCTAACAGAATCTACCGCGTTCCTTAGTAAGATGGACCCTTTACGGACAATCTATTCTGGCACTACTAGAAACATAGTAAAAAATTGAAAAGAATTCATATGAAAAGAAAATACAATATTTTCTCTGCGTGTAGTGTTGATAACCTTGAGTACCATTTCCTGAACATCTATTCTTACCTAACTCTGGACATTCCTATTGTTTTGATTTTCAAATATGAATATTTAAATTTTCAACATAAAACACACGTACATATGCAATATATGTACACGTATATTTCATGTCGAAAGTTTAAATTTAAATTTTACAGACCAATACAACAAGATTACAACAAGAATGTCCAAGATTAGATACCTGTCCCGGGCATTGGTACTTTTATCTTACACGCACGTGTAAGGCTACTACTACTGTTTTGTTGAAGCAACGAGAAGATACAGCTGGCGCCGAAAATAACAACAATTTTCGTTGAAATTAACTATTTCTTTCTCTGATAGTACACGATGTTAGGACGGCTTCATTTAGTGCGGAATTTGAAAGAACGTGTCTTCTCGTATCAATGTTTGTCTCGCGCTCGATGCCTTCGTTGGAGCCGGTGCGCGCTTTTCGTTTCTTCCAATACATAAACATTTCTCTCCACCGAAGGTAGCCAGGTATTCTCTCACCCCTCCATCAGCCCCATTCTACCCCCTCCGTCGCACCGGCCACCTCCAGGCACAATGACGCGTTGGTGAACCATCCCCTCTTTCTGGTCGCCGTCGTCGAAGTCGTCGTCGTCGTCGTCGTCGGTGGCGGTGGAGGCGACACCACATCGACATCGGCCCCATTGCGCTACCACTGAGAGACGTCTACCTATGGAGAGCCATAGCGATTCCGCGACGAAGGTCGTGTTTTTCGTTCGCCCTTTTGCGGTTTCGCTCCGCGCTCCAATATTCGAAGCCGTTCTTTGCGTAAAATTCGATGTCCTTTTTTGTGTACGATGTACATGCGGGTATATTATCATGTCTGCAAACCGCTCGCGCAACGATTATATATTTTCAGAAATAATACCATATTTATTTAATCCACTATTATTAAACGGATATTTAAATTGATTTTTGTGTCCGTGAACTTTAAAACCACGCAAAAATCCGCGGGAATTATTCGCGTCTCTCTCTCTCTCTCTCTCTCTCTCTCTCTCTCTCTCTCTCTC